TAACATTAAAATGTATTAAAAGTGAGCAGGATCTCTTTTACAGTTAAAAAATACATTTGTCAGTTCTCTCTACTGATGAGAAATAATCTGCAACAAACTCATATCTGGGAAGTGGAGCGATGGTGATAAGGCTCTTTTACCCTAAAATATCACATGTTTCTGTGTTGTCAGGTGAGAAATGGGCACATCAAACGAATCACTGACAATGACATTCACTCCCTGGTGTTGGAAGTTGAAGGGACAAACGTCAGGTGAGTTTGTGTGTGTGTTAAAATCGTCCCTCAGCTCAGGTCAACCTGTGTAAACACATTTATTCTTGCCCTGTCTCACGCTCGTACCTCTCTGACCCCTACAGCACCACCTACATCACGTGTCCCGCAGACCCAAAGAAGACACTGGGCATCAAGCTTCCCTTTTTGGTCATGATCATAAAGAACCTCAAGAAATATTTCACTTTTGAGGTCCAGGTGGGGAAAGCACACATGTATTCCTTAAACCCAGGAATGATTTATATTCTGAGTTTTGTTGCTCGTAGTGTTGGGATTCATGGTCACTCACTCTTTCTTCCCCGATCTTTGCAACTCTCAGGTGTTGGATGATAAAAATGTCCGGCGGCGTTTTCGGGCGAGTAACTACCAGAGCACAACACGAGTGAAGCCGTTCATCTGCACTATGCCAATGAGGCTGGATGATGGGTGGAATCAGATCCAGTTCAACCTTTCAGACTTCACCAGGAGGGCGTATGGAACAAATTATATTGAGACGCTGCGTGTACAGGTCAGTGCACAGAGACAGAGGAGGAACGAGCTTTTAAAATAACTCCTGTACTTAAGAAACCTGTTTCAGACCCAAACAATTTCAATAACTTTCATCCTATTTCTAACTACCTTTCCAAAATCCTGGGAAAAACAGTTTCATCTCAACTCCTTGTTAACCATTCTCATGCTCCTTCATCGACTGCAGTCATTTTGCAAAACTACATGTTTTATTCACTGTTCATTTGATTGATGTTTTTGATACATTTATTTTTGTTGTTGTGTTTTTATCTGCCATGGAAGGTGACCTTGAGTTCACCTATAAATAAAATGTATTATTATTAATATTCAAATGCTACTTGACCTGATGAGACTGTAAAATCTTTCAATTGGATGTTTAATGTTGCTGTTGTCTAATGCGTTTTTCTCTCAGATCCACGCAAACTGTCGCATTAGGAGAGTGTATTTCTCCGACAGACTGTACTCTGAGGACGAGCTCCCTGCAGAGTTTAAACTTTATCTGCCTGTCCAGAATCAGAAGGCCAAGGTGAGACATGCCCCTCCACACACAGTCAAATATCTGTACATGTGGTACAATAATCATATTTGATATTTGTCTAACACTCGTCTGTTTGTCTGTGTCTTGCAGCAGTAGACCTTCTCCACCTGCATCGCTCCCTGTGTGATGAAATTTGTAATATAGTCCTTTTGGAGCTAGAGTTCTGAGTGATGTCTTGTGTTCTCTGCTCAATAAAGTTTTTTCAATTAATCGTTGTTTAACAATATTTTTGCAATAAAACTATAGTTTTGTGTGCTGATATTTAAAGTCTCCTATTCATCCTTCTCCTAGTTTCTGCTGCAGTTCTAGTGAGAACTCGTGAGGATCGCGAGAACTTGTGATAGCTGCAGTTACTCTAGCAGTAACCACGAAGATATCAGAGGACATTTAGGCTAAAAACATGATGCAAATGACCCCATTTGAGTCAAATTTGAATGTTGGGGCTTACAGACACTGTCATTACAGACTATTCATTAACTTGTTCTTTCTTAACCGCTGTTTCCAAGCATATGACCCGGTCCATGGTCCCTCTTCCCTAAATACACTCTGATGGTAACATTCCTCTGCTTTCCATATAGTATGCTAATCTTTCCGTAATCTTTTTTTTCCACAACTTTTCCCATATGTGATGTCATTGCTTTTGGCCTATAGGCCTATAGATCATTGGATTTGTTTGATATAATCCTGTCAATGGTTCCTTTCACTCCAAACAAAGAAAAAGTATAGGTACATGGGTTGTCCTTTGATGTAGAACCACTGATCGAACTGTTAACCTTTGATGTTGCAGATGCAGTAATGCATATACCTTGAGTTTTATGGTTTAGCTTTTCACTGAACTGGAGCTTCTTTGAATTGTTGGCAGCGGACTGAGAAGCAATAGTGAAATTTGATCTATACACAAAGGTTAGCAACAGACTGTAGAACATGTTTAAAAACACTTTTCAGAGCGGATTCCTCTCCATCTTGTACAGCATCGGCAGCAAACCTCTGAAGATCTGGGACACGCACGTGAGTGAACTTTAACAAAAAGTTATAGCCTGAAAGGGCCCTGTTCTCAATGAATGTTGAAGGTAAATAAAGTAGGTTACACGGAGGGCCAGAAGGCACAGTGTAAAAGCAATAATAATATTAACAACAATAATAATAATGATTAATGACATTTTTAAAGAGAGTTTAAGGTCAAATTACAACACTTTAAAGATTTTAAATGCAATGACAATATCTTCATCATATGACTGACTCCATCCACATCAGCATCTGAATTGTAGCCTGACAGATATTAAACATAATACAATAAATTGTAAATATCTTATTTAATTGACTGTCATTTTAACAATCAAAGTTGTGCTGATCTCGCTGGTTGACAAACTGTAACTGTGACTATAAAGATCCTCAAATATGTTCTTTGCACATCTGTCCTGCTGCTTTGTGTTGTTATACAGATATAATGTGCAGAGTTCTCTATATTTAACCAAAAAATGTCACATATTTCTATGTTCATAGGTGAAAAATGGCCACGTCAATACAATCATGGATGAAGACATTCGCTCCTCTGTGTTGGAAATCGGAGGGGTGAACGTGAGGTAAGTTCTTAACTCATCCCTCAGCTCAGGTCATCTTGTGTTAACACATTTGTTCTACTCCTGTCTCACGCTCTTACCTCTCTGACCCCTACAGCACCACCTACATCACGTGTCCTGCAGAACCAGAGAAGACACTGGGCATCAAGTTTCCTTTTCTGGTCATGACCATAAAGCACCTCAAAAAGTATTTCTCTTTTGAGGTCCAGGTGGGGAAGGCACACATGTATTCCTTAAAGATTCAGTGTGTATGATTTATATAAAAGGGATCTATTGGCAGAAGTTGAATATAAAATAATCCTAATGATGTTTTTAGTAGTGTGTTTCATCTAAATTTTACAAATTGTTGGTCACTTTACCTGAGAATGGGCCCTTTATATTTAAATACTTTATATTAGCATCAGGAGCGGGTCCATTCTACTGAGGCTGCCATGTAAAGACATGAGATTTTATGACAACTGAAGGCTTCCACAGGTTCTCTTTGATGGTTGGAAGGGGAGGGTGAGGTGATGGGTATTCAGCTGCAACATGCAACATCACCACTGGATGTCACTAAATAATACACACTGAACCTTTACACCCAGGGATGATGTTTTATCCTGGGTTTTGTTCTTTATGGTGTTGGGAGTCATTGCTCATTCATTTTATCTCCCCCATGTTTGCGACTCTCAGGTGTTGGATGATCATAATGTCCGGCGTCGTTTTCGGTGGAGTAACTTTCGGACCGCGACACAAGTGGGGCCGTTCATCTGCACCATGCCCATGAAGCTGGATGCTGGATGGAATCAGCTTCAGTTAAACCTTTCAGACTTCACCAATAAGGCATATGGAACGAAGTATGTCGAGACGGTGCGTGTACAGGTCAGTGCACAGAGACAGAGGAGGAACGAGCTATCTTCAGATGCTACTTCAGCTGATGAGACTGTAAAATCTTTAAATCGAATGTTTAATGTTGTATTGTCTTTCTGTTGCTAATGTCTGATGTGTTTTTCTCTTAGATCCACGCCAGCCTTCGAATCAGGAGGGTGTATTTTACTGACAGACAATACTCTGAGGACGAGACCCCAGCAGAGTTTAAACTTGACATGAAAAATCAGAAGGCCAAGGTGAGACATGCACCTCCATGCAC